TGTTTACATCCTTAAACAAACACTGGAGACAGTAATTTTTACACTCATGCCATTTTCCCAGTAAAAAGAATTATTAGTAATTTTTGCACAAAGAATGACAACAACTGTTAGTGATGATAGCAACGTTGTTTGCAACATTTTGATATTATTCACTGGGTGCTCGTATCTTCTTATATTATTATAGGCATGCCTTGATACAGTTTATAGGTAGGTACTTTCCGTGACGTATAAAGATACTTTTTCTAAACCTTTTCGGTTCAATACACTCTTTCTAATCTCATCTGCTGTTTGGCTTTTATGGTCCGGCATGCAGATACATTTGTACAATCTGTTGGATTGACAATTGGGTGTTGTTTGTCGGGTGAACTCTAGCTCATTTAGTTAAGGCAGCCGATAAGGCAGAATCCCAAACGGAAGTGCCACACGCGTCTAAAGGTTCTTGAGCGTGAAATAATAACACAGAAAGTTCCCTCTTAGTAGGTCAATGCGTCAAAAGACGACAGGCCCCGAAAAAACAGGCAAAACAGGCAGCAAATTTAGTCAAGGCAAAGTATTTAGCAAGGGAAAGATATATAATTTGGCACATGTGAGACGGGCGTGTTTTTGACCTTGTGGCAAAAAATAAATTCAAGTATTTTCAATATTTTCGCTTCTCCGCAAAAATGTATTGTGAAGGAAAACTGGAATTATTGGGATAAATTCTGTTGGTCCATATATGATTTATTACTTTAGGCATACTTCCATAATATGAAAATGTGTTTTTGAGAATAAAACCATTTCACTGTTAAGCTTCTATAAATTCACTTTTCTTCAATATTTTAATAAATATGTGCCCAAAGTGCTTTAAATTGCCATTGGAAATCCGATCAGCAAAATGCTTGAGCAGGTGTCTGCCAATTTCTCTCTGAAGGTTCACTGCGAAAATCTGACAAACCGAGACAGGTATATCTTTCGCTGTGACTTTGACATAGATTTCACTGTAGCAGTGCCGGTAGCCAAAACCAAAACCAAAAAAAAAAAACAAATGGCAAAACAAAACAATAATGACATTAGGAACACTGTTGAATTCTCATATTGATTCTTCCTTCCACATTTCGTTGGCCCCTTTTTATGCATACTTTATTATTGTTGATTTCGCTGGGTTTTATAGTACACAAGTGAATCAACTTCGATCGAAGGAGAGTGAGTAATTGACAAAGCATTTCTTGGCGCCTCTGCCGCGGCTTGTTCCACCCATTACGGAAGTTCAGTTTTCGAGGTCATTGGAATCCAAGAACCGCCCAACCTCCCCAATTCCCAGCTCCTGTTTCGGGGCTTTCTCAATTATTCTAAGTCGGTCAATGCCAGGCACGCGTCAAGTTACCATTATTTCGATATATATATGAGCAAATGATATATATCTATACATACATATATTGTTGGGCCCTGCCTTGGTCGCGATTTAAGCAACGCATGAGGTAATCGGCCATCACATCCACACATTCAGTGATATACCCATATAGCTTCGTGTTTCCAGGGGTATTCGGATTGAGCCAGAGGTAAAGGTGTCTCCTTATCGCCACTTCTTGGCGCAGATGACTCATTGTGCCTGCCTCTGAAAACGCCAATCGGATGGGGTCGTTGCCTTTGGGCAAACCAAAGCCAATTGCAGTAAATCTGTCAATTGCCTACACACAGCAGCACACAATCGCTGGACTGAGGCTGAGTGAAACATTGTTCAATATAAATTATAGCAACAAAGTGCGGAAAAGATTCATCCAAAGCTGCGAAAAAGTGGAAGGAATCCGCATGGCAACAGTCGTTGGAAAGTGAAATTCGATATTATTCAAGGCATACCCACCGCTTAGATATGAATAAATATTTACTGTGACAATTAGCTCACATTTAGCCATTTTTTTTTTTAACAATAACCGTTCTCTTAGAGCTTAAAAACCTTTAAAAGAAGCAATGATTTATTGGACTATGCAATATCCCTTAAATGCGCAATGTAATTGAAAACACAAGGGTTCGTAATGAAGGAATTCCTTCAGCCATTCTGCACAAAGTATTCCACTTTATCCAGACAGTTTGATTACTTCTGCCCGACTAATTGGCAGCTTGGACAAAGGCAAATTAGTTTCCAGTGTGTGTGTTGAGCAGAAGTTATGAGCTCAGCTATTGGACGATGACAACATTTGACCGTGGGGCGAAGTGGGGCAAAAGAAGTCAATGGTATGTAGATTTGCCATTAAAGATATTTAAATACATTTTGCAAATTTCAGTGGAAGGGAATATAGTTTATATTCCAGATGCTTGTCGGAGGCAGGCAGCGATTTATTTCTAGCAATAAACGTTCTGGGAAACAATGATTATTAATCAGTGGATTTCAGGTTGCTTAAGTAAATAAATATCCGAGGAATGGTTGCAGCATATGGTAACTGTTGATAATACCGGATAATACTAATAGATTACATTGCAGTTCTGTTTCTAGGAATAACGTTATAAGAAACTGTTATATACTGTAACAATTCTTGCAATTGCTGTTGAACTCCCTTAACCAGTTGTAATTCGTTTATTATTCAATTTTCAACGGAGAAAATCCTCGAGTTTGTTTTATAAGGTAAAGTGATACACAATCGTCATTGTTGCAACAAGCCACATACATTGAGTGGCACTCAACAAAGACTTTCCTTTTCATTTGACAGGGCTCAAACTGGTTTTCCTCTCTCCTTTTCCTTTATGGCCACTTGTCCACAGTAAGTGACGTAAGTGGATCTCCAGGGGAGGGAGTGAGTGAGGAAAATGTGGCAACCCATGGGTGAGGTGCCCAGTGCCCTTGGGCCCAGTGCATCAATCAGTTGCTCTAATAAAGAAAGCATGGACAAATTGTCTGGCCGGGGAAGACGAGTTGCAGAGGAAATAAATGTGAAATGAAGATTCAGCGGGGAGTTGTGGGCTGTGGGGAAGTTGTCAAGTGCAGGCCGTTTTGGTTCTTCAAGTTGTTGCTAAGCCGACAAACGCAAACACGAACAAACCACTTACAACGCACATATGGCGATGCATTACTCATACGACGCATTGTCACCCCCCTGGCCCCTCCATGAAACCCCCTCTGCAGCCCACGGCCCTGGTTGCCGGCTATTTTTAATACCCAAGCCACATAATTCATTGTAATTTGCCTTTTGCTGCCAGTCTGCCCCCTTTTTTTACATTTTCCAGTTGCATTTCGTGGGGAAACGAAAAGGAGAAACGATCGTTCTGAAATATGGGGAGTGCCCAAGGGGGGGCGTGGTTGCAAGGGGGTTACAGGCACTTGACTAGCTCCTCGTCACACGCAAATGCGCAATCTGCCAAGAATATGATATACACATATCGTTCGTATCTGCATGTATCTGCATCTGCATATGTATCTGTATCCACACATGTTTCATTTGCCTTGACTTTAGTCTCTCTCTAATCTCTTGGCATATGCTCAATGTATAAACTACTGAAAAAGATTCCCCGTTTTTGTATGCATTTTACTGGTTTAATCACATGCAAAACCCCAAAACAGTGAGTCACCCAATAAACTTTTTCTATGGCAAACAAATTAGTCATCGCCGCATGGAGGTACCAATAAAAACAAAAAATGTCACCAACTTTTAGCTTGAAAAAAGTTGGTCAATGAGTTTGTTTTGAAATACTCTAAAAACAATGTTGATAAAAACGATTTCGATTGGCGAAGAAGGTGGATGAATGCAATAAATGAACAATGAATGAATACAAATAACAAATTAGCTCATTTAAATGCATTGAAATGTAATATAACAAATATATGATATAAATCCCAAAATACTGATTGCAATACAATCTTCAATGTAATCTGCCTTTTAAAATGGTCTGTACAGCAGAACAGCAAATTCGTATTTTCGCAGTGTATATGGCAATTGAGTAAACTGTTGTACGCTTTAAAACGAACTTAATTAAAGCGACCTTTTGTGTCACGTTCATTTTGTTGTATTCGTAGAGCCACCGCCCCCACAAAAATAACAATCCGCCCCATTGGCCCCCCTTTCCACAGCTTTCCCATCAGATGCCGAAAAATAAAAAGCAGCATACACCGCTCGCTTTCTGCGCAAACATTCCATGGCTAATTTCATTGATGAATTTTTATTAAATAAATTATTGTAATGAGGTTTACCCTCTATTAGAGGTCTTTCCCTCTCGTTCTTTACGCTTCCCGCCTAAGCAAGCAATTCCGGCAAATGGACGTAGCAAATTTGCAAGCAAACAAAACTACAAAACCAAAAAAAAAAAAACTATAAAGAGGCAACAACAAATTATTTGAGTGGCGAAATTATTTCTTGCGACCGAAAGAGACGACAAAACACAATGAGAAAGAGAAGGCGGCGCGTGTTGGCACTTTAGCAGCTCGAAATGAACCTGAAATTAGCCCTAGACGAACGATAGTATTGCAGGGATGGGAGGAGGGCACCGGGGGGGCTGTGGGGCCAGCGGACATTCTCAAAACTTGTTCAAACAACGTTTATGCGTTCTAAATATAGTCGAATGCAAAACAAAGGCAAACCCGGCTCTGCCCACAAATAACTTTCGGAACGGAACCTCAGTCTTTGGAGTTAATTGATTAGGTCCGTGCGGTAAGAAAAGTAGACAGAGCGGCAGTTTGTTTATAATCGTGTAAATATTTGATCAGCCCAATACTATTTGAGATAAGACGCCAAATGCCAGGCTCTCGTAAAAGTGGAAAAGCAAATGTGGAAAGGCAGCAGCTTTTGTGAATGAATTTGAAGAGGAAAATGGAAAAGTCGATAAGATAGCGGGCAAATACATTAACCCATTGAACTAAATACTGTTGATTTCCCAAAGTAACAAGATATGGGTATCTTTCAAAAGGTCGAAAATGCCACTATGTAACCCCTAATTAGTTTACTAATATATTCCACACATTGCAAAACCAGATAGTTCATTTGAATGTCTTGCTTTCGCTATGCATCAAGTGACATATTTCGCTTGTGACTCACCTTTCAGTCTCGGACTCTGCATTTGGTTGCTGTTGTAGCTGTTGGATTTGCTGCTGCGTTGCTGCTGCAGCGCCGGTCGCAACTGCAGCTGCCACTGCCGCGGTCGCCTGTTCATCGGTCAAGGTCAGCGCGTTTGTTGTTGCCTCGGCGGTGGCCACAACACTCGTATTCGTTAGGTTTAGATTACTATTATTGGCACTAGCACTCGCGATATTTGCTGGCGGAAGCGATTGTTGTTGCTGCTGCTGTTGCTGTGTTGGCTGCTGCTGCTGCTCCTCCTGCTGCTGCTGTTGCTGCTTCTGCTGCTGTGGCACCATCAATTGCTGCGGATCGGCAATCGTGGCGGGAGCACTCTGCAATTGCAGCGTGGGAATCGCTTGCGCTGCAGCCACCGATGTTGCTGCTGCGCCTCCTGTTGCTGCTGTTGCTGCGCCAAGATTAGGCTGCTGCTGCTCGTAACTGGTCATGTTTGATAACAGCGGCATTGTCTGACCCTGGACATTGACTACCGCTGCATTGGAAGTGTTTGAAGTCTGTTGTGGTGGTGCTGCAGCCACTGCAGATGTTGCAGTGGCTGCAGCTTGCGGAGCTGCTGATTGCTGCGCCTGCTGCTGCTGCTGCTGTTGTGGATTAAATGGCTGTGGGACTATTCCATCTATCTGCGATGTTGCTTGCTGCTGCTGCTGCTGTTGTTGTGGCTCCAATTGGAAGTTGGGCGACTGCCCGGCAGCAACCGCCGCGAATGTGGGTGCGCCCTGGGGCGTTAGTGGTGCCGGGGATAATGGCTGCTGCTGCTCAACATAGCTGGTGCTTAGCTGCGACTCTCCAGTTGCTGCTCCGGCGCTGTTGTTGTTGCTGGCCGCCACACCAGCAGAATCTCCCCCATTTTGGTAGTTTGGATAGCCACCTGGCGGCACGTCCATGGCGTCCTCGCGCTGCTTGAGCTGCTGCATCGTTTGATGCAGTTGCATCGCCGCCGTTCGCGCATAGTCCATGTTGTTGGGGTCACCGGCGGGATTTGGTGAACTGGCAGCATTGGCATTCACGCTGTCGAAGAGCTGCTGCTGCTGCTGTTGCTGCTGGGCGAGCAAATTGGGAGACAAGAACTGTTGCATGATGGTGGAGAGGAGGTGGCATGAAAAGAAACGACCGGAGGACAGACACAAATAGTATGTTAGTGGCGTCTGATGTTAAGTTTCTTAAGATTAATAAGCGGTTCCCTTAACATTTCTACTTGCTCAATATTTATTTAAATTGTAATAAACATCTGCCACTTATAACAATTGAAACTATCGAAGTATTAGGTAAACAAATTGAAACTATCGAGGTATTAAGTAAACAAACAAGCATCAACTTACCTCGACGGAGGCATTAGGACTTGGGGTTACCGAGGAACTGCGACTCACTGATTAAACGAAATAAAGTAAAATTAGTGACTGAATCCGAACATTTCTCGAATGGAAACTAACCGTTGCGAAGAGCCACGGGCAATGTCTTGGTCAGGGCATTGCCAACTATTGTTTGTTGCTGCTGCTGCTGTTGCTCGGCATAGTTCCAGTTGGCATCGGTCGAGGTGGCCTCCAAATGGTTCTCGTTCAGCTTCTGGGTGGGTGGCAGAATCATACTTTGTGTGGTCTTGTGGGCCGGAGCCGGAGCCTCAGACCCACCGGCAACACCTGCTGCACCATCCGTTGTGGCTGGGTGCGCCTCGGAAGTAGAAGAGCCAGTCTTTTCGTTGTTATTACCGCCATTACCCACACTCGAGTGATCCAGGTAATCCATGCACATCCAGCGGCCGCGCTTAAACGGCTCCGTCGACTCAATTTTGACCACCTTGAATCGCTCGCTGCGGTGCTGCGTCTCCTTGATGTCGTCCTTCTTCTTGGTGCCACCCGGTGTGACTGCACCGCTCACCACATTGATAATGTTATCCGACACATTGACCTGGACGTTCTGGATCGTCTGGCCCAGCGAAGGTGCTATGGGATCCACCACGACGAGGCCGTATTGCGAGCTAGTCGGTATCACCGGCGCATTGGTGCTGAGGGCATTGTTGGCATAGTATACCTCCTCCTTGGAGAACGTGTCTTCCGACATTGAGGGCGTCTCGTTCTCCAGGTCCGTTATCCGACTATTGTCATCCGTGTGAGATTCGTCCAGATCGTCGGCCGACTCGTCTCCAGTATCGCCGGCAGCATTCAGCTTGGGATGGCCCACCGTCACCGAGGTGATCTCGAATGAGGAAGTCGTCTTTGGTTTGCGATTGGTGCCACCAGCGGCGGTCCCCGAGGAGCTTCCACTACCGCCACCACCACCACCACCGGCTGCAGCTGATCCACCGGCGACGGTTAACGAGGCGTGTCCTTGACTGAGGCTAGTCTGTTGCTGTTGCTGCTGGTGGTTGTGATGCTGATGGTGGTGATGATGATGATGATGGTGGTGATGTGGCTGATGGTGATGACTGCCTGCTGCAGTGGCTGGGGCAGTGCCAGTGCCAATGCCAGTTGCAGCTGCCGCAGCTGCTCCGCCCACCGAACGTGCTCCATTATTGTTGGGCGAACTGGCCTTGGTGAAGCTGTTGTTGCTGCTGCTGCTGCTGTTGCTACTGCTCACCGGCTGCTGTTGGTGCTGCGGTGTCGAGTTGCTGCCACCACTGCTGCTGCTGGACTTGGGTGCCAGCGATGTGGAGGTGGATGTGGCCAGGCTGGAGTTACTACTGGCCCTGGACATCGATGTGGGTGTCGCTGCGGCTGCCACGCGACTCAGCGAGTTTAGACGCAAACTTTCGCTGGTGGTGCGCTGCAAAGCCGAATTGCTGCCGGCATTGTTGCTGTTCTGATAGATGTTGCTGGGTGGATAGCACACAGCAAAGTGATGGTTGCTGGTCAGCGAGCTGACCTTGGTCAGCTTGCGGATATTACCGCCAGTGCCGCCGATACTGACTCCTCGGGATGGTGTCAACATTGAGTTCCTGCGTCCCGGATTGTTGCCAGGTCCCGCATTTGAGGAGGCCGGCTTAAACTTGGCATTAACCGTGCGATCAAACATGTTGCTGATGCTGTTGCGATGCTGCTGCTGCGATGCGCTGCTGGTTGTGGCTGCAACTGTTGCGGCGGCGGCTGCTGCTGCTGCTGCTACTGTGGCTGCTGCGGCTGATTGCTGTCGTCGCAGCAAGGGCAGTGCTTCCTGGGAATTTTCAGGGGATGAGGCCTGCGAGTTAGTGGGCGATTGGTTAGCTAAGACCGATGTGGTTGAAGCGGCCGTGACTGATGTGGTGGCTAGTGGTTGCTGATGTTGCTGGTGTTGCTGTTGCTGCTGATGTTGCTGTTGCTGTTGGTGACCGGAATCTTCGCTGGCCGCACTTTGATTCTCGGCCATAATCGAATTGGATTTCAGCGTGCGCAAAGTCTTTAGCAAATAATCCAGGATTGCTAACGATTCTTGGATTATTTGGGGCCACGGAAAAAGTTACGCTTTACCAGCTTTGCGGTTCGTTTCGATTTGGTATTCGGTTGGGTATCCACTACGGACTACGATACACTGTATACAGCCTTTGTTATTAGCCTGTTTAATTAAGTTCTGTCAGTTGTTGCATTAGCTGCTGCTCGTCCGCCAATTCGAATGCGATTGTTGCACTGGCCAACCGACGACGCCGATGCATAATAGCGGTTAGCGTTGCGTTGTCAGGTGCCACCGACTGCCAACTGATCCGATCTGATCCGTAACCGTCTGTACTATAGGGTTCCGTTCCGTTCCGATCCGATCCGATACAATACGATACGATACGATACGAGGACTAGCAACGTTCGCGACGCGCCGCGATGCAATTTGAACCGACCGACGATGGGTAATGCGAAACTCTTGACTATTACCTATTATTCCTTTATTAAATTGTGTATTTATTTGTTGGGGGAGTTGATTTTGTTAGGCTGGTAAATTGTAATTTATTGGGGCGAGGTGGTTTTTCGTGTTGCGGGGGGCTGGTGGGCGGTTATGATTTGACTTTCCGCGTTTTGTTTGCTGCTGCTGCTGCAGCATCAACATCAACAACAACTACAACAATGTGTGGCACACCGACAACAACAACAACAACAGCACTGGTCAAAGGCGGCAGCGACAGCGCCATCTAGCGCTTGACTTTGTTTAGCGGGCGTTTCAATTTTCGCCACCAACACCGACACACACATACACTAACACATACGCGAACACACACGGTTCACTCACGTACACGTACACGCACACGCGCGCGCCCCCTCACACACACCGGTGCATGTGTACAGCACAGCTGTTAATCGAATCAATTCGATTTGATTCAGTTTCTGCAGTTGGATGATTCGTTTTCGAAAGTAGGCTTGCCTGATGTGGTTCCAGAACTTGGTATCACACTTGAAATATTTCTTATAAATTATGAAAATATTTTGGTGATCTTGGTTAACTTGGGATTTCTATTCATCTAAATTCTATTCATATATTTGTTGCACTTCTCCACTTTGTCGTCACACGCTTACGCTTAGGTTTTTAATTTGTTGGTTTTCTGCAGCTTTATCTCGTAGAATTAATCAATTTCTTCGGTTCAGTTTTACTAGCACATTGCAGTAAATTGTAGAAATGATATTCCTGTAAAATGGCAGAGCAGAACAAGAAATACCATTAGAATCCATTTCAATGATTATGAGAGCAAGAGGTACGAAATTCGATCAAGAACAAACAATATTAATTTCCATTATTTGTTTATTAAATTAAAAGCACACAAAACGCCGCCGAGCACACAGATCGCGGGGGGAGGTGGGGAAATGATTGCACCGAACAACGCGACGTATACGTAATATATTCAAGATATAACATTTGTCATGAGCTTGTTTGGGTAATTAAATGCATTTATTTATAGTCAAAAATTAATAATGTCGCACTCAATAAGAGGTACATTTCAATTAATTTCAAATTATAACCAGGAATAGGTGAAACTTAGTTTTCGAAGGTAAGATGGGCTAATTGTAAAGGCTTATTATTATTATGCAGCGCATAAATCGAGCAAGCAAGCTAACTAAATTAACCAAATAGCTCAAATTCCACTTTTTAGTATTCCCCTGAAGTTAAGCCCAACCTTCGGCTACTGTGTATTGTCTGATTTTCTATAAGTATCTAGTTAAATTTCATAACTGCGTAGTTCATGTTCGTTTATTATCATCATGACGATGTTGATGATGCTTTGTGTGCTTTTCATTATTTTTTGTTTCGCCTCGTTTTTTATTATTGATTTCATTGAGTTGTCGGTGTTTTGGGTACGTCGTAGTTTTGTTGAATTAGTTAAGTGCTACATTAGAGGAAGGAGATTTTTGCGCAGGGGGTTTCCTTCCGAAGCAGTGAGAAAAAAATAACCGCATGTTTGTTTTTAAATACTTTTTTGTTGGTCTCCTTTCCATTTTAGCTGCCTGTCTTATTATCTTTTGCATTTGCAGTTGAATATTCAAATATTTATGTATTTGCTCTCGGCATTGATTTTTTCGCCCTCACTCATTATTTAATCGATTTCGTTTACGGAAATCAGAAATGAGTCCGCTAACCAAAGAGAAAGAGATAAAAAAAGGCAGCCCACAAAATGATTCGCCAAAATGATATTCGCAAAAAAAAAAAGAGTTTTGCAAACATTTTCGGGCACACGCGCCGTTCTCTTCCGCACTTGTGTTGGTAAGCGTAATAACCGTAAACTTTTCGACGATCATTCATAAATTGCGTGGACTGTCAAGAAGAGAGTGTACTTGTATTTGTAAGTATAGTGGGCTCCCGATAAGAATTCATGTCTCGCAGTATTGTTCATAACTACAAAATCAATGTTATATTAACACGGAACTGAGAAGAAATTTAAATTGAATATATCTAAAACCGAAATCCTACAGAAATAAGTTGGCACTTCGCAGTACGAATTTGTTGATCTGAATACTGAGCTCGAGCATTACTGGCATTATCTAATGATTCATGGACAGACTTGCGAGTGATTACTGTAGTGGCGTTTGAACTCTGCGTGTGCCCTGCCAGAAGGCAAAGTCAAGACCTTGACGCTGCTCTTTTAATCTTTCTCTCTCGCTTAATTTTGTTTTATTTCTTTTGCCTAATCGAGTTATAAACGACGCAAAAAAATCTGACTATTTCGTGGCTAGAAGAGGAATTAGCCGTAGAAAAGAGACAAGCAACCAAACCAGCAAACCAGGAGAACAACTGAAGAACAAAAAATCAGTTATAGGTCAACAGTGGTCGTAGCACTCTGTCAAGGTGGGCATTTTGGCTCTTATTTTGTTGTATTTTTTCTGTGTTTGCCTGTTGTTTGTTGGGTCTTTAAGAGTCTATTGGCCTTGTTCTTGAGCCACGCAGGTGTTGGCCCAAAGCATCTTCTTGATCTTGAGTAGATTTCGGATAGAAAATGGGGGAGTAAAGGCGAGTTAATTGGGCACCACTTTTTGTGAACGAATGTAACACGCATTTGAAAATCAATAGCTTACAACAGCAATTGAGGCTTACAACACCAATTGAGTGTTTACAACACCATTATTTCCTGAGAATGGCATTAAAAATCTGTATAAACTAGACGAAATTGGCTCAATTGGGAATATAATCCACTAAGAAGCGCACACACAAACCGACTTAGAATGCCCAACCCATTAAGGACCTCTGGAGTGGAGTATCCATTCTTATAACTCATCTTATGGACAATAAACTTGGGGCCCCTTTTAACCCCACGGCAGTCAATAATCAAAGTATCGCTGTAGGCACCAGATTTCGCACACAAACAAATCGGCGAATGGAAATGAGGATTTCTGCCTCTGCTCACTGCCTTCCTCAATAGCAAAAACAACAACAACAAGAACAACAACAACAACAACAAGAACAACAAGGAGATGGGGCAAAAAGAAAATGAGAACCAAAAGTGCAGACAAGAAGCAAGCAACAGAAGAACTAATTGCAACGACAAAGCATAAAATCGATGGCAAGCCAACAACAACAAATGTAATGAAAAGCAACTACAACAGATAGTACAGAAAGAGGCTAGAGCGAGCGAGCGAGAGAGAGTGAGTGTGAGCGAGCGAATGCGCGTTGAGAAAATTGCAATCGGAGAGCGGGAGCTGCAAAAGAGCGAGAGCAGCCTGTTGGCCCCCCACCGCATCCCCGTCCCCGGCCCCGTCCACATCCACACGCTCCTTCCTTCCAACGTGGGCGCCTACAAGTGGGCGGGACGGGGTGGGGGGCCGCATACCAAACAAACCGCAAAAGGAGAGCGGCTGCCAACTCTCGCTCGCTCTCTCTCGCAGCAGACAGCTGCCGGTAATCAATATTGATGATGATAGCAGCAGCCAACGAAGATGAAAACCAAAAGGAAAGGTGTCCCGATTGTTCGCAGTGCACCAAAGGTAAGCCAGGACATATCGCTAGTACAAAGTGTGATTATGAGAACCACAGCTAAAACTACAAAAACTTAACCAAACAACATTTATATCTTCGGTTGAAAATCAAATCTTTGAATAATACTTCAAAAGGAAATACGAAAGATGGTAAATAGCCAAATAGCCAAATAGAAAAGAATAGAACCAAATCTTTGGCAGTAAATTGAAAGATGGAATTAGGATCCTAGATCAAAAATACGCTGCAAATTGATTTAAACTTTGAACATTCAGCTCTTGAAAATCCTGCAGTTTAAAATAAATTTCATTTAAACCTTGCCGACAATATATAAAACTGAACTTTATGGATACCAAAGTATTAAATAATGCATAATGAAAATTGAACCGAATTAATAACTTTTCAATCAGTGACTTTCCTTTCCTGTCTTTCACCCACAGGCACTTCCCACCTTTTTCTCTCTCTTTTCCTTTCCGCAAGGAAATGATTCACAATGCAAAAAAATGGCAAGGGAAAAGGAAAAGAAAAACGAAGGCGTTATAGGAGGAAGTAAAAGAACCCGAAAGAGCGAGAGAGAGATGTCGAGAGAAGGCAATGAAAATGTTTATCAAACGAGAAAAGAGCAGCCACGAAGATGAGGAGGAGGCGGCTGCAAAAGGAACAACAACAAGCTAGAGATTACAATGACAATGCATCCATGAGATACTCAGATACAATTTGAAATCGAATATAATTTCTCAATTGAATTGAGTCGCAGAATGTAAATAAAGCAACAAGACATCCGAGAAAATTGGTGCAAATAGCTGTTAAATTTACCGAAAGTCGGAATACCCTAAATCAAATAATTAATCCTTATTTTATTAAGGTATTATTCAGAAAATGTTAATGATAAAATATATTCTTTAAAATCGAAAAGTGTAACCAGTTGCTAAAAGATTGCTTTCAACCCCGAAATTCCTGCACTACAAAAAGAGTACAAAAAGGTTGGACTGATTGAATTCTGGTTTGGTAGACGTGACTGCCTGCACACGCATTTTTTGTTTGCACATAGATCCCTATTCGAGAAAAATATGCTTATTTTTTGAACTCATTCCAATCTATACTAATGTATCTCTCAGAACAATCCAATCGTTTATGGCTAAAAATGTTGCCATCGATCGTACCAAAGGATTGGCAAAAGCCTGAAGTGTATCCGATTCCTAAACGCAAACATATAGTCCAGTGATAGTTACAAAATGGTGCAGGGTGAGCAGAAAAATTTGCCACGCGGCTTGACAAGAAAGACGATCTGGCATGAGGTTTATTTTGTTTTGCTTTGAAATCGGAGATGCGTTAAAAGGGATGATCATTATGATCGTGAAGATACAGTAGATTGGTTCAAGGGCATTCAAAGCTAATCAGATTTATTAATTTCAAGTTGGTACAAAAAGGTTTCTCATACGAAGTGATTTTGAATTTGGAATAAACTAATATCTCTCGACCTAATATTTAACTTGATATTCACAGAAAGTTTACAAACGCCCATTACTTTTAGAGGAACTTTAAGTGAACTGAAACCTAAGTTATTATAAAAGTCTGGTTTGTTTTTGCACATCGCCGGTATTTAATACGTATCCATAATTTCTAAACACTTGTGTGTAATTCGAGTTACCGTTAAACCAAACAAAACACACAATTTTGTATTTGAATTTCAACTGTAAATCACATTTAAAAAAAAAAAGTACCCCATAATATCGGATGGCAATAAGCAGAAAATTGCAAAATGGCACAAAAACAAAACTAACACTTGACTAAACAATCAAGGCGAAGCAGAACAGAAAATAAACAACAATGAGAACCAGCTGACATTATAAACAAAAGAAAATGGCACAAAATATACAGTAGAAAACTAAGGAATATTGGAGTTAATCAAATGCTTGGCCAGCTGTTTTGGAGAAATGGCAATGGTAAGAGGAAATGGGAAAATCTAAGGTACAAAGTGCAAGCTGCAACAACAACTGAGCGAAAGTGAAGAAGCAGAGCAAAAGGATGGGCTGACACACACACACACTCTGGCGTACACACACACACACAAACAATTACGCGACTGTTTTGCACTTTTGTTTCATTGAATTTCTCTGATTTTTCCTTCGTTTTTAAACATGTTTCGATTTGCTTTTCTTTTTATTGGTTATTTTCTGATCGATTTGTAGCACCGTTGCGGCAGGAGCCTCTCTGCTCATCACTGCTCCCTTTTTCAACACTTACGCGTAGATCAAACGAATTAAAAGTACTACGTTTCTCGGCATAAAATAATAAACTAAAAACAAGCGAACGGCCACGATTTAAATTTGGATGGGATATTAGTTTTTCGTTGCGTTTTGCTAATCGGACAAAAGGAAGGTAAATGACAGTTTTGACAGTTGGCTGTGCATAAGCAAATGCGGGGAGCAGCGCGAGAGCCGATTCGGAGAGCGCGAGAGTCGTTCAAGAGAGTCGAATGTCGTTCAAGAGAGCCGAAAGAGAGAGAGAGACAGCTATTAAATAGAGAGGTACTAAAGCGTTTATGCACGCACAAGATTGGCGAAAAAGTTTTTTGCAAAAAAAAAAGGCGATACGCCGAACTGCGGAAAGCAAACAATCGAATACAACAATTTTTGTTGCAAATTTTTAACGCCAGGGACTTTTTTCGTTTTAGTTTTCCTGGCAAAGGCGGCTCACACCCACACATTCACAAACTCCCAATGTGTCTCTCTCTCACACTCTCTTCAAATCGGTAGAGAGTCGGCAATCCACAATTTTTTCGTTCTTTCGATTTTGCACATCTCTCCGCTTGTCACTTTACTTTTCGCAGCTCTTTGGCTTTTTGCAAATAAATTAATTTTTCAGCGCACATATAAATTTTCCATCAGTGCCTTTTGTGCTTCGTTTTCTTATTCAATTTACACGCACACACAGCCGCAGCAGCAGCGCACACACACATCTCTACATCTGCATGCCAGCTCGCTCACACACACAGCGACGCACACGTCACACTCATACACTCACACGCACACGCACGCACATACACAGTTTTTTCTTCGATTTTGCGTTAGCTCTCGCAGCCTTTTTTCGCTTTTCTTCCTCGATTTCAAGGGCGCCGCGAGTTAAGCGATTTTGCAACACTTTCGCGGCGCTTTCGATTTGCGTTCTTTTACTTTTTGTCCGTCTGCAGACAGCGAAAAACACCAACAACTTGCCTTGCGTTTTTGTTCCAACTCAAATGCCAATAAAAATATAACATCAAATAATAATACCAAATACTAAAAACGGGATTTTTCGGAGCTTTGATCGGTCACACTACGCTCTCCACAATTGGTATTTTAGTATAATATGGTTTTGTCCCATGCTAAGAAAAATAATCGATTGTGATGGTTCTGTCGTGCGATATCCGATTTCGAGTAATTATCGCTTAGCCATTTTTGAAAACTTAGTTAACCTTACAATTAACTTTCAGTTTTAGAACTGAGTAATAATAAAGTGCAGAACTAAGAATAATTACATATTATTCTTCGTGTGAGTGGAAAGTTCAGTGACCACTGAACTTATTTATTCAAAGTTGTCCTTTACTTTGTGGCAATAGTTGTTCCAAAAAATGTAAAACAGACGTCTGTTAAAAGTTCAGAATGGCCACCGTTGCCGCTACCCAAGCCAACAACCCTGTAATTTTTTGACATTTGGAGCATTCTTGTAACGACGGACCATTGGAATTTATCTATTTCCATGCAACACAGTGTCAAGTTGTATTCGTAAATCTAAATTGGTCTTTTTAGGTATATTTTTAAATAGCCTTTATTACCGATTTATTTAAGCTCCAAGCGCTGAACAAAACGCCTTTTTTACATTATACATTCATATCACTTTGGTTTGGTTCTTTGCTAACGATTTTTGAGCGAAATAAAACGACAACAGGCCTGGTTTGGTCATTTGCTAATTATTTTGAAGCAAATTCCAACTAATAAAAGCGAATTAAAGCGACAACTGGCATGGTTTGGTTCTTTGCTATTTATCTTGGAGCGAATTCCAAATAATAAAAGCGAATTAAAACTTCTATAGGCCCTGGACTAAAATGCGGTTTTTAAAAATATATAAACAACAGAAGAAATCATTAAAAAAAACCTTAAAAGCTGTTAGAATTTCCGCATATTTATTTCGCTTATACTTCTTTCTCTTTCTAAAACGTTTCTTCTTAACGTTGTGCTAATTAAAGAGTAAATATAAAATTAAAATATTGTCCAATGTGTAAGTACTTTGGAGTATTTTACGAAATTTTCACCTTCTCACTTACTTGTAGCCATCCCTAACGCAACTGTTTAGCTGATTAATAGTCGTTTTGCTTTAGTAGGCGTAATTTTTGAATGCCACAAACTTTGTCGCACTTCCTTTAGCTGAGTAACGGGTATCTAATAGTCGCGCCACTCGACTAAGACATTCCCTTTTGTGTCCTTTTTTTATTTTCCTGGTGGAGTTCATTGAAGCGTTCTGATTTTCTTGTCAAAGCGGAAAGAAATCACGCTAATGATCGACGCACCCTCCACCAGTTGCGACTCAACCAATGAGTTCTATATACATATGTATGTATATAGTCATATATATGTATGTATGTAGTGCAACTGACCACTTGGTTTGCAACGGAACGTGTTCGGGATTAGAATTAATTCCAACCAACCGCCCCGCCCACTTTCACCCACCGACTGCAGGCGACACCCTCGCATTTGGCCAACGTCTCATTTAAATTGCAGCAGGCAGGAAAAACATTGGGCAAACGCAGACGCCCGAGGACCAGTTTTCCCCCCCAAAAGCGGCCCCTTTTTGCACTGGACATTCAAAGGTTTGCGATTTGCCGGACATGTTTTGTGCGTAATTAGTGCAGACGGATGCGTTGCACCCTTGTGTCAGATGCGAAAGGTCCTGCGATCCACTCAGTCGTGCTTTTCGCACACTCTCTGCAGCATTTTTCTCTCGGGCAGTTTTCCTTTTCTTTAACAATTTCCATTTGATTGCGTTCGGGGGAAAATGCTGGCTCGGGCATTCATTAGGGTGACCAACGTCGGCGGGCTTAACTGTCATTTCCATAAGACGCCCATTTGGTCAAGCACATACTGAGCGAAAAGCAAATGTTTGGCTTACAGTCAACGAATTTGCCTATTTTTATTTATTTTGCATATACTAAAAACAAGAAAACACATTTTGTTTGCAATCTCAGATTAAGAATAAACTAAAATTACTATTTCAGATGTACTTGCAATACCATGGGTATCTTTCTTGCTTGCCAAGTTTAGGCTTCGATATTTGTGACTGTGAATGCCAACTTTTTTCTTCTGTGTAGGCGGAACTACCCAACTCCCTTGGAAGCACACACATCCCCACCGCATATGCAAAACTTTGGCGTTTCATTTGAATTTCCTCCTCTGCGTATACCACGTCGTCTCCTCTCGCACTTTCTCCTCATTTCGCTGCCCGTAATTATGAAGATGAATGTCCTTATTGCTTTTATATCCCTTTTGCGTGTATGTGAGTGCTTTCAGTATATGTGGTTGAGTTTAGCCGCCGACGTTCTCTATTAATAATGCTTTCAGTCACACTCTGCATACAAGTTCGCTTGAATTTGTTGCCATTCGGACTGTTGGTATTTTCCTGGGTACCGCACAGTGGGGCAATGCTTTGTAATCTGCTAAAGGTTTTGTTGAAAATGTAAGCAAATAGGCAAATAAGGAATTTTTATGGTATAGATATACTTACGAGGCTTTATGATTTTGTTTAAGATATTCCTGATCACCCTCACATTTAATATAGTAAGAAAGTACCTTTAAGACCTCATGTAATTCATGGTATTGACGGGTGGGTTTTGCTATTATTGGCTTGCCCGCTAAATTCCCGGACTAATTCCTTTTGCCCCACTGTGCCGCAGGAGCAGCGCGTGCAACGTGCCATGCCTGCCCGCCTCCCACGCATCTCGTTTCCTTTCGTTTCGCCGACGGCCGTGGCAATAATAAAGGAAAATCCGACAGGATGCTAATGCGTATTTAGTTATTTAGTTTGTGTGTGTGTGTTTGGTTGGGGGAAGGGGGAGGGAGGCTAGAGGACACAGGACTCGCCGCTTTTATGTTTGTTTTACTCGTGTGTGAGTGTGTGTGTATGTGTGGGGCTGCAAAAAATATTTGCATATTATCGATTTTGGGTGCTATTGGAGGGGGAAATAGTGTACGGAGTACACATAAATTCTGATAAAAGAAGACACATCCTTAAAGCGCACGAAGTAGGCTCATCTTACATTTATAGAAACTTAAGGACCTTTAAGTAGCTTAGTACAGAACTTAAACCGATCAATTTGATTTTCGAATGGCAAACGAAATTCGAAACGGAACACAAACGTGTTGGACGAACACAAAATGGCCGAGGTCCTTTTAGAAACGTAAGCGGATTTCAACAATTTAAGCAAAACATTTTTTTAAGGGCAAAATGTCAAACGTAAAGGCGAAAGCGTCCAATTAGATTTGGGCGGGCTCACAAACTTTCCAATCAACCCTCACAAAAATTTTGCTGCGTGGGATTTCTGAACAGCTGCTTTGGGGGAAGTCCTTACCAAATCCTTGGGCCAGTACAATTATGAAAAGCAATGAATTGTAAATTGAGTTAGTATTGTAAAACTGGAAATGGACTGATGTAAAGAGATGTAAGCAGCTGATGTAGGCGTCATTAACTGATGTAAGGAGATGTGATCTTCGTAGAACATTTGATCATTATTAGCAAATTCTTACATATATTTTTAGATACAGATAATTGCAATCGCAACTACTTCTTAATTAACTTCTTGTAAGATGCTGCGATGATGTAGAGTGTTTTCTTACAGACAGCTGCAGCAAAATGTAATTTATGCTTCAATTAAACACTTGGAATATAACCACATAAAAAATAGATCTTTGTTTCCTTAAAACCAAATAGACTATCCCACGCCCTGAATTGCGCCAAGTAAACAAAACCATATACGCGTATAAGCATTAATAACAATCCAATAGGATTTACAATGCATTGCAAATGTCATAAATATCAATATGAGAGACAGTTGACTAGCTGCGTAGCTTTTTTAGATATAAATTTAATTTTAATGGCCGCAACGTCTAGGCGGGATAACATGAATGCCCTATTTAAAGGATTAGTCCATTGAGTTATGAGCTAGCAAAGCCAAATCGGACATTGCCACATAAAATATGTCTGCGAGAATTTGCTTTTTAAGTTAATTTTATTTTATGTCCTTTGGCCAGCAGCGGATTGTCCGTGGCGAAACGCGTTTCTTTTTTTAATGGTGATTTATCTGGAGGCACCGAAAGCGAAAGTGAACGAGTTTTCCGGGACGTAGGCCTTTTGGGGCTACAGCGGTTGCTTTTTTATGGCCAAATCCAGGCTGACAAATGGCCAAGGGACTTGGCCATTAGAGGCTGTTCAATCGAATTCGAATCTAACGTGTTACATATTAATTGCCCATAATTTATGACTGGCATTATGGAACAACAACTTGTCCTGATTTGTGGAGCTCTCTTCCATTTTCAAGCCCAGCAGAATGCTTTTCACTTTGCAGAACTAAATTAGGCGTACATAAACCAAAAAACAATTTCAAAGCTCATTAAATTTTTTGTTTCCTTCATTTTTTTGCGCCCCGTGCATCTCGCAGTCGAAAACTATGGCTTAATTTTTTTGGCTGCTTCCTTCGCCTCGGGGTTGTCCACCAGCCAGACTCACTACGAGTATATCATCCCAGGATATCTATCATCTGATTTTGGAGGGGGTTGACGGTCTTGAGGGCGTGCACATAGTCATAAGTGTCGCAATTGTTGAATGATTGCAACACGTAAGGCGCAACAAATTGTGCTTCATGGGGGCAAGCATGAACTAGTTTTTTTTGGTACTATTCAAAATGAATGGTATTAACACATTTTATGTATAATTTTATATTTTAATGATAAATAAGAGAGATTTCTGGTATTAATAAATATATTGATATATATTTTAAATTATAATTGGAGAAAGCTATCTATTCACAGCTACTATGATTCGATCCAAGTCATCTAATTAAAGTTTGGAAAGGTATTTAATGCATCGGTCTATAGCTACATGGGTTCCCTTGAGAGACTGGCCCATCATCCGAATCGGCCCTTCCAAATCGTATAAGTAATTTCCCTTTGACAGCTCGCCGCCATCGCATTATGTTTTTATCTCGACACTTGGAAGAAATCTATTAGATGCGAGGACTCCGTGCCCATTCCCAATGCCAGGACACACTGCATCAATCCTGGCAGGACCC